CATTGTGGACAAGGTTCTTCCTATTATAGGTAGCGGGGACAGATAAAACACGTAAGGTAGAAAAGACACAAGTGGGTCATAATGTGCACTGAATCGAAATTATTTGTTAGGGATCTGCCACAAACTGTCATTCCACTCTTATTGCAGTAAATGCCTCTTTCTCTAGTCCTTCCATTCTGGCTGTAGAAGTAGAGTAATTTGAAATTAGTGCACAGACAGGTTCATGGTAATATTTTCCTAGCATTTCTGAATTAATAAGATGCACATTACATCATCATCCCTTTCTTTTTTCTAGACATGTTGCTGTAATTTGCTTCTCAGTAAGCAATATTACCTAATAATAGGTATGACTATGAGGACTAGTAAAGCTGTGTGAGGCTTTCTATCCCTGGCTTATTACTTGGAACAACTTGCTATCTCATGAAGTAAGAATTGAGAGGGGAAACTGTCGTCTGGGAAAGAAGTATGCACAGGAACATGTTCCAGTCTAATTGTCACGTAATTTCCCGGCTGTGCAATGGGAGCCTGATGAAGATTATTTGTTCTGAAGATGACAGCCCTTTATTTCTACTGTTCAAAGCAAGAGTAGAGAGTATTGGCTGCTAAATACCTGGAGAAGTTGGAGTTACTGGGGTGGTAACTGATGGTGTGAATTCGCTTCTGATTGTTGAGGTGGGTATGGATGTGGTGGTAATTGTTGTTGGCTGCCTGGCTGTAGTGGTGACAGGTACTGTTGTGCTGGCAGTTGAAGTTGCAGTTTGTGTTGGGCGCCGTGTACTTGTAGTCTCACAAGAAATTTCATGCTGCTCACAACAATTTACCCTGATTTCATAATTATAACAGAGTTGCCACATAGTTGGATCTTGCTCCTCATTTTTACAGATAAGTCCATATGTAACATTACACTCTACTTTCTGGCCAAGTTCCTCTAAGCTAACATGTGGATTATCTTTAGCCCTGCATTCAATATTTTCAGGAGCTTCACATATTTCGTTTCCATATTCATTTCTTATTGCATCGTAGGTTTCATAGTCACCACCATCCTCTTCAGGTTTGCTAACATCAAACCACTCAGTCCAATTACAGATTAAATCAAAGCATGGAGCTGCAAAACAAGGTAGAGATTCAGCACTGACCTTACAGACAACATTCTGTGAAGTTTAATTTTGTATTCTATTCTATAAAAGACTAGAGCAATCCATTGCAAGTTGTAATTTTTTAAAAAGAGAAAACATTTTTCTTTCTATAGAGAAAATGAGTTGTACAGTTGGTTCTTTATCACCAGGTTTTTCAATCGGAAGCTTCTTATCGAAATAAAACCACCAAGCAGAGGCCTTTGCAGGTCTTCTCTCTATACTTATTATATTCTTGCAATAAAAAAAAAAAATTTTGGTCGATACATGTTTTTCCTATAGTGGTGTCCTGGGTTCAGGTACAGCAGTCATTTTTTCTCCTTCTTAGTAGCTGGTGCAGTGCTGTGTTTTTGACTTTCAGCCTGGGAACAATGCTGATAACACCGATGTTTTTAGTTGTTGCTAAGTAATGTTTACTCTGACCAAGGACTTTCTCAGTCTCATGCTCTGCCAGGGAGGAGGGGAAGCCGGGAGGAAGCAGAGACAGGACACTTGACCCAAACTGGCCAAAGGGGTGTTCCATACCACAGCACATCACGCCCAGTATATAAACTGGGGAGAGTTATTCGGAAGGCTGCTCGGGTCAGGCTGGGTATTGGTCAGTGGGTGGTGAACGGTTGTGTCCTCTCCCCTTGTTATTCCTCTTATCATAATTATTGGTAGCAGTAGTGGTTTGTATTATACCTCAGTTACTGAACTGCTCTTATCTCAACCCGTGGGAGTTACATTCCTCCGATTCTCCTCCCCATCCCTCCAGGAGTGGGGGGAGGAACCTTCCTACCTCCCTCCCTTCCTTACTCCCTGGGGAAGGAAGCGGGGGGGGGGAGTGAGCAAGCGGCTACATGGTTCCAAGTTGCCGGCTGGGCTTGAACCATGATAGTGGCCATCTTTAATTTACTTTTAATTTAAATGTTCTTTTGACATTTTTTGACAATGTAGTTTTCTATTTAAAACTTACTTGTAGTTATTGGAGGGCTTGTAGTGGTAACTGAAATAAAAACAAAAAGAGTACATCATCTGCAAAGTTAGAAAAATTATAATAGTAGTTTTAAATATCCCAATTATATTTTTTTGCAGACACTACTGATACAACTTCTTCTATCCCAGTAGGGTTTTGAAATGTTAACATGTTTTTCAGAATTAGGAAGGCACAATATACATTTATAGTTACAATTTCTTCCATGAAAAGTAAATTAACTCAAAGTTTTAAAAATCTTAGTGTACAGTGATAAAAGTATTCTTAAGTATTGCTCTATCTGTGTCAGCTATAAGACCATATACTTGTACTTCTATCTTTAAATAATTTTCCTTAAAGAAAGTAATTTTTAGATGTACATCTCTGTTGAAGTTTTACCTGTAGTGGTTAGAGTACTGGTAGGAAAGGAGGTTGAAATGGTTGTAGGTGAAGTAGTTGTAGGACAAGGATAAGTACTTCCAACAACTATAGAACCATTTTCTGCACAAACATATGTTATACATATGTTGCCATCCTGTATTTGTGCCACAGTTTCACCCACTTCATAACTTGTTCCGTTGATGACACAAGGACACCCTGCAAGAAAGATCTTTACTGTACAATTGTTCTATTACTAGGTGAGAGACAAAGGCTCTTATTACTTATGGACAAGTAAGCATTTATGAGTCATGCATGCTCTTTTCAGTTCTATACCTGGAGCTTAGATCTAATACATGGCACTAATTTATTTTGACATTTAGAGGAATATTAAAACATACTAAATAAAGCCTTGCATAAAACATTTGGAAGAACAGTTACAAACCAGGTTTTAAAACGTTCTTCAAGAAATAACAAGTGCAATTTACCATCTCATACTTTTCTATAATAATGCATGTTTTGGGAGAGCAAACTTTTGTACTGAAATCCATTAGTTTGGATATGGGATATAGGGAGAAAGAATAAAGGGAAGTGAGAAAAAGGTTGAATAAGAAGTACTAACAGCAAGGTTCAACAAAAGTGCTGCCCAATTTTCTATGGCCACAACTTTCTGGCACTGGAAATAATTATTCCAAATCAATACTAAGTCTTTTGTAGCTACAGATATAGCAGTTCTATCCATTTTTTTTTTCCTTTAACTTGTAGAAAAATCAAATGTTATTTACCTGGGATTGGTGTACACTGTATGGATCCTGAGGGGCCACAGACACTAAAAGCAAAATTTTCAAATATTAACATATTGCACATGTTTAATGGCACCTGTTATCAGAGCCAAGAACACAGAATTGTAGAAATTTGTCACTTGGTCTTCATTCATCCTACTGGATATTTTTCTGGGTGTAATATTTTCCAATATTATGTATCATTATTTCATTTAAACTAAGTCATCAATTTCATTCTTTAAGTACATCTTAAAATTGTCATGAATCACTTTGTGTTGCAAGTTGCAATAGTACAATAATAGGAACTGCTTTTCAGGGCAGTGAACTTATAGCTACATAAGGGGTGTTTTGTGTGTCTATGGACACCATTTAGAGTCATAGATGTCATTGCTATCATTAGTAAGGTTCTAGGAATAAGCAGTTAAGACTCAACTATCTCTTTCAGGGCTAAAAAATTTCAGGTTACGGTGATTTTGAAATCCCAGTTTTAAGTGAGAATGCAAGGCAGAGTAGGCCCTCTCAACTAAGAGCAATGAGAATCAAAACGTTGTTATAGAGACACATCCACGTTTCACGCCATTAAATTTTTTGAGACACTTAAATATACTTAATACATTTGCTGACGCACCTATTATAATGACACTGTCAACTTGAAATATGGATTGTTATGGGTTTGGAAACTTATAAATGAAAAGTTTATTGTAATTGCCACATTTTTTGAACCTAAGTCTCAACTGGAATAAATGGCATTGATGCTAAGATTTGTATAGATAAATACTAGAATATTCCAGCTCTTCAGTTGAAGTTGCATCTCTATTTACTTGAAGCCCAGTTAAGTAAATGAGGGGCTCAGCATATATAAATTCTTTCCTAAAATACTGCAAAATTTCTGCAATTTTTTATTTACCATTTTGTGCAGTTCTCTTCTGTGGTTATTTCATGCCCAGGGGGAACATGAATTCCACCGATGTAACACCAACATTGATCTTCAGTCACACATTCCTTTGTCTCTTCATTATAAACAGGCTTGTCATTAGGGCATCTGGGATAGCAACCTGTTGATGACAAGTAGAACAGTATGCAGGATGAAGAAAAAGTATAAAGAGTTAACTCAATGATAGGATACCTTCTGAAGGTAAATGATTCTGAATAAAGCGCAGTGAAGAAAACAGAAAATTTCCAGTTCAACTTAAACCTTGGACAATAAGTCTTTCCAGAAGACTTAAATCAAACAATTCTCATTGATAATACTGTGATGAGGAGGATTAAATCAGAGTTTAGTCTTGAAAATTAGAGAAGTTGTTTTTTCCTAGTTTGAGATCTTGGAGAAAGCCCTAATTTATGTTAATTTCTATGGGCAGCTAGTAATTTTAAGACAAAGAAACACCACCATTTTCCTACAGATATTGAAATGTCATCACTGTATCAATAATAATTCAGTGAAAAATATGGAAGTGGATTCATTAACAAACAGGTTTTTCACTACATTATTGGAACACTAGTCCTTGTTTATGCAACTTCAATAAATCAGGTACCTCTACCCCAAACAGATAATTTATCTGCATTTTTGTGCACCTTTGCCCAGTGACCCAAACCCCAGCTGCAAGGAATTAATTGTATGTCAATTCTTATTGCATTTTTCATGTAAATACATTAAAAGAAATATTCTGTCCCATTTCTAAATAAACTTTTGTAAAATCCAATGCTTAATTACATGAAGTCTTCTTTATCATGGAATCATAGAATGGTTAGGGTTGGAAGGGACCTTAAAACTCATCTAGTTCCAACCCCCTGCCACAGGCAGGGACACCTTCCACTAGACCAGGTTGCTCAAAGCTCCATCCAACCTGGCCTTGAACACTGCCAGGGATGGGGCATCCACAATTTCTCGGGTCAACCTGTTCCAGTGTCTCAAATAGACTATAAATTTAATGACCATTTAATTAACGGATACTTAAAAGTTGCTTCACACTCTCAAACAGTACTAAAGATGCCCTAACAAAAGTAAACGTGCTCTATATTTCCACTGAAGATTAAAAAAAAACCAAGCAAACAAAAATTTTAGAAAGATAATTGGATATATAATGATCTGCCTGCTGACACTTTCCGAGTCTTTCTAATAATCTAAAATAATCTATTTCAAAACATGGAATTAACTTTAAAAAAAAAGAATGTTTTGGTTAGGTTCTTCAGGGTTGTTTTTTTGTTTGTTTGTTTATTTGTTTTGTTACCAGCAGTTCAAGGATTAAAATAACAAAGTAAAACTATGGGCATTTCTTTCCGATCCCTGAACTGCAGATAACTGCTTCCAGTCCAGGCCAAAAAGACTATGAGGCCAAAAACGTGGCTGTTTTCTCCAACTTCATCATGCCGTAAAATAGAAGATATTTGTGAAGTCATTCACATGATTGGATTATGGCAGTCCCCTAACATGAGATTCCTTTTTGCTTACCAAACACAAGGACTTTCACCTACTAATATATCTATAAATGAAATATACTAAATATGAAGGTAGCCCCTGGTAACCCTCTGACAACATAAATAACAGCATCAGTGTGTCTGATATTAAAGATATTTTCCTTTGTAAAGATAGGAGGATGATGTACATTAATAAAATCAAGATGGATCTGATTCATAAAGAATGATGAGGTTTAAAACCCCTAGCTACCAGTAAATTGCTTCTTTACCATGTAAAAGGTTTCGTTCTTTTGAAATGCCCTTATGATGGGATGCAAAATAACAATGGTGTAATAATCTTGCATATTTAAGGATATTATCCAAGCAGAGACCTAGTTTTATGGCTAACAGCAATGTAATAATCATCCACTGATGTTAATAAATAACAAATTACATTATAGGAAACATTTATATAAGACTGGAGATAAATTCTATGTAACAGATATAGAAATATTTTATCAAGCTGACTTGTCAAACTGAGGGACTATTCCATAATCATCGCATAGTACCTGGCAAAGTTATATGAAATAAAATACAAAAATGGTGAAGAATTTATTACCTTCCAGGTATGGTACTGAAAAGTTGGTGCTGACATTATTAATTATCCTGCAGGTCACGACATTACTGCCACAAGGCTCATAGTGCCAATCACACTCATTACGAGGGTTGTAGTAGTCACAAAATATAGCTGATGAGAAAAAAAAAGAGAAGATGAATAAAAATGTTGTTGCCAGAATGCAGCTCTGATCAGATCTTTAAAGGTACAACCTAAATGAATCTACATGTTAAGCCAGCAAAATTTCTCTTGAGGCATAGGACCTGGACTTTCTACTATTATACTTAAACACCGGGTACATCAAAATTTGATACGATTAATGATTTATTTGATAGGATTCTTGACAGCAGCCAGAAAGCTATAGTTGTGTTTTACTGTTACTCACGGCATATATCAGGAGTTCTCCAGAAAACACAGGCCTGGTGCTTGGTACATTCTTGAGCATATGCAGCAACTGCAGAACAGAAGCACTCACAGTCTCCACCACTGTCACAAGAGCAGGCATCATGAACACAAGCTTCATAGAAAGGAATTGGGTCCACCTGGTGGGGAAAGAAATGATGCCCCAGATCATCTCCACATTAGTTTTCAAACTAGTAAGCTTGAAAGGTCTCTTGAGATACGGGAATTGACCTGAGCAGAAATGAGACCGTTTCTAAAAATTACCAAATCGCAAACGAATATTACAGGCTTTTGGATAATAATTCGGATAACTTAATACCTTCAAAATTTGTTATGACTGAAAAAAATGAGTCTTTGTCTGTGCCCACAGTTTTTAACAGAGTTACATTTTACTGCTCTCAAAACCAAGCTTGTTTAATGCCAATGAAGTCTAACCTTCCAGCAAGCTTTGCCAACCAAGTGGCGAGCAATAGCAGAAAGACATGTCAGCAAAACATTTATACTTTTTTGTTTGGGACTGCAAGAGGAGAAACTTAGTCTGAATTTTAGCTGCTGAAGGAATCAACATAGAAACACATATTAAGTGAATGAAATTAATAATTCTTTGTGACTTTTCCACTGTGAGTTAAGAAGAAACTGTTGTTAATATTACCATACTTAGGAAAGAGACAAGAAGTAGAGAGGAGTGATTCCTGTGCACTGTAGTCTGAAACTGTTGGCCTGACACGGCATATGATAATTTGAGGCACATTACTGTGGCAAAGCTAGTAAATGACTAAACTGTGCAATGTCAGTGGTTTCCATCCTGGATCCCTTCTGTCGGTTGAATATTACAAGCAGCAATGGTCTCTTCAACAGCCACCTTTCATGCATAGTATGCTGCTTCTGTCAGAAGAGGGGTCTGATGATCACAAGGCCTTTCAGAAATTACAGTACGCTAGTCTCTCAAGAAGAGATAGTGTAACTGCAGTACACACAGACCTATTCGGGCTAGATTTATGAAGCTAGCTTGCACAGCAGTAGCTGTCAAACTGGGGGGATGAATATGGGCTTGTACAGCCAGGGGTGGTGCCACTACTGATGCAGTCACATTGCCACAGACACTATAACTACTTTGACTAAGGCTAGGTAAAATATGTTGACACCTGTAGCTGTACTGGAGATTTAAGGTCACTATTTAGCCACTTCATTCATTTTTGACAGTATCTCTGCTTCTGCAGTAACAGAAATGCACCATGCTGTCCAATCACTTACTGCCCTCTACAGACCTTGGAGTGACAAATTTTAAAGACTTCACTCTGGATGATGCTGCATTCTTTCTCTGCCCAGGACTTCCGGTGCGGTTTTACATCACAGGGCTTTATCTCTTCTGTAACATCTGGGCACATAGAAGACTGTTTCCAGGAATTCCCAAACTTCAGAGCACTAGTGTCCTGCAGCCCACTCCTTGTTGTAAAGTCATTGTTAGACTTGTCATCAAAGTTGCCGCACAGACCACACACTTTGCCCTGGAAAAAAAAATTAACATATCCACAGCTTTTAAATATATCACAGAAGTGAGAAACAGACTCTAGTAAAGTAAAACATTGACATTAAAAAGGACAACTGCCTCTCCATATAAATAGCATTTTAATCTTTACTTTCAAATAATTTTAACAGAAATTAAACCTTTATTTGTCTGTGTACTCAGCAAACTATTCAGTTGCCACGTCTTCCCTACTTGAATCCAACTACATCTAGTGTATTTCCATGTCACTGTGGCATCCCTTCATCCAACTTATGACACTGAAGACTGTGTAAACCTCTTTCATCTGAGACAAATTAATTTATTGTCCATTTTTCTCAAATTATTATCACTCAGCTATATTAATATAAGCCTACGGGAGTTTTATTCTGCTCAAAACTGTTTTTATTAAAAACTTATAATATAATGAGCACCACTTAATCCAGGGGGGGAAAAAAATGACAGGGACTCATTTTTCTTGAGGAAGAATTCAGCAGCTTACCCACAACAGTGAATTTTTGGTAGTGCTATTTAAGGTACATCAGCCCCCTTAAGGAACAGCTTGTTTATACAACCCCACACCTCCTTATTCAGCACAATGAATTTAGTAGTTTATAACTCAGCATGCTGATATTCAGAATTCAGAACCATCTCCAGACATTGCACAGGGAGTCTGGTTTTAATTCAGTGCTGAGATTCTATGCAGGTTTCCAAGTGGATGTACAGTCAGTTTGCATTCCCTAAATTACTTTGGAGGTTTAGTTCTTAACATTTACAAACTCAGAATGCCTTAGAAGTTTAGCTTTATTGCAATCACATGCTATGCATCCTCTGCAATGCATCGTGATGGACAGTAAGGAACTCCAGTAGCACCTCTGCAAGCTGTGATAGTAATATTGCAAGCTAATAATCAAAGTGCAGAGGATATAGGAATCAAACATGGAGTCAGAATAGAACAACATTTATGTTTCCTTATCTCATTGATCTATTCATACTACTACTTCAGAAAAAATACTGATGGGTCCTAACTTTGTAATCAGGGGTCAGCTTGATGAAAACAGTAGTCTTCTTATCCCAGATAAGCATCACACCATTGCTAGCCTCAATAACAAGGTAGAGGCCTGCTGTCCTGTTCCAATAATGTACATCATCACCAATATCTCGCTGAATTTCTTTATAATCTTTGTTCTCCAATTTCAGTTCAGTTTTCTGAAAGATAGAAAAGAGAAGTATTATAACATTAACTTTTATGATGAAAAAAATTACATGCTCATAACAATACAAGTCATTCTGAAACCAATAGCTCAAAGTCTAGAATGACTTTCTGAGATGACAGGAAGTAGCGTAGCAATTTTGTTTGACAGAGGTTTTAGTACATGAGAATCTACACTTTTACAGATAAATTTGATAGGGTCTCTAAACTTTGCTTGTTATAGCTGCTTTTAGGGAAGTGGCTTTGGAGCAGTACTTTTACTTTGTTAATACTTGAATACTGATACTCACCAAGCATCATTACTCACCCCCAGAAACATTTTAATAGCCTTTGAGCAGGTGACTCCTGTAGTTCCGCAAGGGACATTCTCTGTGATGATACTGAATGAGCCGCTGGAATTTCTATCACCACAAAAGTCCTATTGAAAAAGTTAAAAACAAGCATAAGAAGATTAGGTAGAATACTAAATTTTTAGTTCAATCTCATACTAATTAGAATCATTTAAATCTCGACAATGAATAAATTGTTACTGCTGCTTCATATGTGAAATCCTACATACATATATTTTTACAGATGCACAAATATATACACACACACCACTGCATACATATATATATTTCAGAGACTCATGTGTGGCAAAACCTGGGAAAGAAGTGGGACAATAAAACAAAATGAGGAATATATCCTTAAATAAAAATATCTGTGTTTCATAAACTTAGAATTTTGATTTATTCAACAACTGATAATGAGCTGTTAGAGCTCACTATAAAATAGTCATCTTACATAATACAATTCGTGACTGCTGTATTAGAAAAAGCCCACACTCTCACAGCTTGATGGCACCGAAAATACAGAGTTTATCTTCGCAGAATGTGTAAACACCTCAGGAAGAGTGATGGCAGGCAATAAGGAATGACAAAACCAAGAAGGAAAGTATATCTTCAAGGCACTCAGATGCCATTTCAGCCCCCCTGATGAGCACTACCTGAGTAGCCACATATTCACAGCTTCCATCAAAGTCATAGAATTTTCCATCAAAAGTGATATAATGGCCACTTCCATATATCATACAAGTCCCATAGCACACATCTTCAGTGCAGCTCCAAACCCCTTTTTGGCAGGTGCTAGAAGAGAAGAGTTGAATTTTCAGATGTCACCAAAAGTATGTTGTTTGGGGATCTACAGAATAAACCAAATCATCAGCCACCTGATACAACATGACAATGCGCACAATACCAATTTCAGTGATACAGAGGGTCTTAAGTTTCAACTTCAATAGTTTAGCATGGTTTTAAGCCTGTAACATGATTTTTAACTCTGGCTAGCTACGTTTTTCAGATCTTCTAATTTTTCAGCACTCATTATTCAAAAAATGAGTGCACTTTCCTAATAAAAGATGCCTCCTGAAAACAGAGGTAGCTATTACCCCAACATTTTCAGCACAACATGTATTTCCTCAGATAGCAAACAGTATGCCTGAAAATAAAGATTTATACCTGCAGATATTGCAGCCACTGTAGTACATAAGCCTACACATGGGTATTAATTTATTGCATAGAATATATTCTAGAAGACAGTACAAAATCATAACTTACCAGGTGTTGCAGTCCACTGTTACCTGCTCTCCAGGAGAATACCACTGGTTGTTATGAATGCATGGGCAGTCCTTCTCCTCAACACAGCCTCCTTTCCCATCATCAAATAGTCCTTCAGGACACACACAGCCTGAGATACACTCTGCCTGGAACTAAGAAATGGGAGCAAAAATTGTTAATTTATGAAAAAGCACTACATTTTCATTCCAGTTCTTCATAAGCACTCCGGAAAAAACAGCATTTATAACAAAACAGCCTAATATTGATAGGTTTTATAAGGTTTTTCTTTCTAGATTTCTAATGTTTTTCTTTTCTTTTTTCATGAAGACACAGTAAAAAGAAAAAGGGAAGGGAAATCATGAAATTGCCAACTGAATAATGTTATTTAGGATAAAACAAAGGAAAATTTAACCGAAGAGGAATCAGCTGTTAGTTACAACTGCATTTTTTGTGTTGCACCGTGTCATTTAAAGAATACAGAATAAAGGAAACATGACATAGAGAAAAACTGAATACATACATGATCAGTTTGAGGAGTGTGACAGCTAAGTTGTACAGGTGTTTGTGAAGTCCAGCTTGGAGATGCATTGCAGTCAAAGTAAGTCTTGTTAGAAGAACATTCTGTTACACCTGAAAGGTATGTTGCTGGTTTGGATGAATCCAGAAAAGGCAAAAGAAATGCGTGTGAAAGGTGGTAGTTACTGAGACAGAAATCTCAGGGTATGGCTATTCTTATGAAAAAAAGAGGCTCGGTGAAGATGGAAAAAAGTGAAAACGTCTAATTTTTTCACATAAAGATAAAAAGCAAAAGTACAAAACAATTAAGTGGAGAATTCAATGGAAAGTGTAGGTTTCGGTTTCGAGGTTGAGTTATGGTTTTTATTTTAGTTTTTAGAATGTCACTTACTTTGCGTTCTTATTGTCACTGAAGTACACTGGACCTTTGCATTTCGGCAAACACTGGAAAAGCGAAGTAAGTAGAAATTAAAAAAAAAAAAACGTAAGCTCAGTGTCTTCAATTTAAAGCTAAGAATTTATTCATACAAATTTGAGAGTATTTATTAGTATTTACCCTGCATAATTTCTAGGGATATTTCAAGGTGAACTTTATTGAAGTGTACTCATGAATTTTCACTAGGAGAAAAAGCGCAGCAAGATTTTAGGCATAATGCACAGGAAGGTTATGTTTTAAGGAATGACAGCTATTCTATTAATCCTTAATATTGAGCTTCTTGATGGTTCAGGAAACAGACAATAATGAAATGGATAATAATGATAATTTAGATCAAAGCCTTCGTTTGGATAAACAATGCATTTTCATGCCTATTCAACTCATATGTTGCAAATTTGTTGGCCTGTATGCTTCATCTGGTGGATGAGAAGAATTTCACAGTTTGCACTGATGATTCACTCAGCAAACAGTTGTCAGTTAATGATAAAAAATACCAGCATTGTTAAAGTTCCTTTCAAAAGCCTATGCTACAGTAAATACGTATCAAGGGGACCTTCCTTTAATGGAAAACACAAGCAATCTGACCCTGACAGAAAACAGCAACATAAAATTATAGCCAGCCTTTTATCTTCCTTTTACCCCTCTGCTCAACAAAGGCTTATTGACAGTGTAGGTTCAGAGTATTGTTTATCTATGAAGGCCAGTACTTTGACCTCCAAACAAAGCTGCATTTCTCAATTATTAATAAATTGCATTGCAACAGGATGATGCTTTGCTCAGCATGAAGATGTTGTGAAATGCATTACAAGTATTTGTTAAAGCACCACAAGAAGCTAAGGAGCTTACATGTAATAAGCAAATTTTGAAAGGGCTTTTATCCCCACAAAAAAGAAGCCACAATAAAGCATACCAGCGTTCTCCATCTTTTGTGACATATTCCCCTGGTTCCAGGTATGATCCCTTGTAATAACATGGGCACTTGGAGATGGGCACACAGGTATCCTGGTTATCCAAGTATGTATTATATGGACAGCCACAGCCATCCACAGGAGCAAAGTCTTGCAAGCAATGCTTTTCACCATCAGCAAGGGAACGACAGGTTTGCTGGCACATTGTAAGGTTGTAAAGGAAGATTTGATTCCCTGGGCAGGCAGACACTTCACTAGCTGGAGGGAAAATAAACAAACTGATAAATAAGGGATGCAGGGTGGACAATTTAACCATGACATTTCCATTTGGTTTCTTTGGCTGTGCAGCATGTAAAGGTAAAAATACTCCCTGAGATTTAAGTACAAAAATATCCTAAGTCACAAGTAACAGTAGCCTAACTTTTTTCACCTGTTGAAGACTTCCTTTTGAATGCTACTAATAGTTTCTACTTTCATACCCATATTTATTCCACAGACTGATAATCAGAAATAGAGCACAATGTAATAAACTCCTAGTCTCAACAATACTGTACTTCTGATAAAAAGGAAGCACAATGATAAACAAAGACACTGATAAGCAAAGACAATGTAAAAGCCATGATGGATGTGATTCCATTAGTCAAAGACAGAAAGAGCATTATTATTTAAATGGAGGAAAGAAGGTGAAAGTAAAAAACATTGTTTGCTATTTTTAAACATGTCATGAACAAATGACAACTAAAACATACAACATGAATTAGTAAATCTTATAAGCATTGTCTCTTTTAAGTCCATTAGACATTTCTAAAATACTCCAAATCCCTTAACATTGCAATCATTGACAACGAAATTCAGAGAGAACCGACTTATTCCTCATGCTAAATAGTTCCACGTGGATTACAGTTCCACTACTTACTGCAGACACTTTGTCTCCAGCCTCCCAGTACGACCCCTTTGAAAGCACAGGCTCTCGAGTAGGAGGACAGGGCAGCACACAAGCAGTCTTCACTGTCTTCACAGAGGCAGGTGTCATATTTACATTTCTGAAAAAAGAGCAAAAGGGTCTTTTTTCTGATGTTTTTATTAATTCCTACGCTCAGAGAGCTATGGAAGGAATGGACAAAGACCAGGGACTGAAAGTGCTGCAAAGACGTAAGAATTCTTTTTTGCTCAGGTAGGCCATATTTACTGCTCAACAGTGATGAGCATGGGGGAACAAAATCATGTAATTTTGGCACGAAAAGAAATTTGATGTTACATTGTAACCAATACAGGAAACGTAGTAAATATTTACTTTTTTCTTTTCCCCTAACTTGTTAGCAATTGATGTGTAAGGGTAGACTTAAACTTTCTGTGCATCCCTGCAAACTCTTGAATCTTCTTTCCAAATCAAATATCCAGTCTAATAAAAATGTACATTAAATACAAAACATAAGAAAACAGAAGAACAAATTCATCTTTTTCTTCAGCAGCACCTGGCAAGAATCTCATCATAGAAGACAGTTCCAATGCAGGCTATGCTGCCTCAGTCAATCACTGCAAAAACTTCACCAGTTCTTATGGGCAACCTACTCAGTAATGTCGCAAACATCTGAACAACAATAAATGTCTATTGTCATCCATCTGAAATAAGGCAGTACTAAAAAGAGTGCAAGATTACAATACCTTATAGTATTCTGACGGATCAATGATTAAGTGACATCTTGCAAAGGGACCCTCTGAGTTTTTCAGCAAAGAACACCAATGCTCAGCATAATTTGCTGCAGAAAAAGAGAAAAAACAAATTATATCATTATATTCATTACATTCACTTATCTTCCTTGTGCCATGTCTAGTTACGTTGTCACATAAATACAGTGCAATGATACAAATGAGAGAACTGCATGCACTTTGGGGAGAAGAGAAACTACATGCAATCACTGTACATGTATTTCTGTTCTCAGGTTCAATTATCTAGCGGTAGACACACAGACATAAAATCAAACATCATATTTTTCTGCTGCAAGTTGTCTACATGGAATTGTGACAGCCTTTCCTATTCAGGGATCACAAAGCTAAATTAAACACAGGGCTAAACAGTACTAGGAGATACAAGCTGCCTTTGCAGAGAATACAAATTAATGACCTTGTTTCTCTGTCTTCCAGCTCAGGATTCCTCTGCAATCACCCCCTAAATTTTCACTTCAGGGATCGTATGTATACATACTTGCAGAAATTAATTATTAATTTTACAGTCCTCTAAAAAAAACCATCAGTGCCACACTACAACTCTTACATGCCTGTTGCAGTAATACACAGCAACTATCTGACTTACTAATGTGCTTACCACTTTCAATGCTGAGACTGCAGGGGTCTTCCAGCTTTTCTGCCTGGTCTGTACAGGTGGATTGAGCTTTCCATGTGTTAGCAAAGGCAGATCCTGTAGCTTCTACCAGCCCACTGGTTGTTTTAAAGTCATCACCTTCCATTCCATTAAAGTTTCCACAAAGACCTATTGAAAAAGATGGTAAAAAAATTACGTAATCATTACTCATTCTCATTCAAAGGTCAAAGGGAAAGGAACTATTCATCACAAACATTAGAATCAGAAGTTCATACAGCTGATTATTCCACTCATATTAATGCATACTATAAGTAGTGAAGATTTAGGAGCCTTATTTTAAATCTTTATCTCTTGAGAAGAATAGTTTTCATGAAGGTATCTCTGCCTCCGAAGACCACCACCCTCACCCTATCCTGTATTTTTTATGCTTTCTGATGATATTAAAACCACAAAATACACCAAAAGCCTGGTTTTCCAGATTGTTGAAAAAGAAACTGAATACAAAGTAAGAAATATTCTAGGAAACAGTCATGTACTGGCAGTGGAGTGATAGGTGACTTCAATATGAAATAATAAAAATGCATTTATAGGTTGCTTGAAACAATTCTCTTCCAATACTTTGGCTTCTGCTTTCATCTTCCTACTCTTGAATCAGTGAATAGCATGAATTATTACTCATGTACGAATACATGATTCTTAAGCTGTGGAACAGCATGGCTTTGCTTCCCATTTGGCTGGACACTTACCTTGAGGTTTTCCTTGAACTGATTGATCCACAGTTGCAAACAGTTGCATGACTGGAAGCAACTGGATTTGCAGCTGAAGCCCAAAAGAAGTTTGTACAACAAGGTAGTAGGAAGATGGCTTGAATACTGAGAAGCTGGCTGAAAACACAAAATATGAAGTGTGCAGTAAACACAGGATGCCAAAAGAAACACTTCTTATTAGATTCTAAGTTATAACCTGCCATGAAAACTCTGAAATGAGGACCAAAGTAATAATTTTTTTCCTCTAAAAATTGCTGGCCAACTGCATACAGTGCTCATCCCCACTAACTTCACATTGGCAAACTCACTAAATGTAAATTTGACTCCTGCATCCAGATCATTTATAAAAACACTAAAGAACACTAGCCCTAAAACTGAGCCCTGGGGAGCCTCACTGGTGACTGTCTGCCAGCCTGTTGTAACCTCATTTACTATAACTCTTTGAGTACAACCCGTCAGCCAGTTGTTCACCCAACCTATTATGGACTTGTCTAGCTGTCTGCTGGACATTTTGTACAGAAGGGTAGTCTGAGAGACAGTATCAAAAGCTTTCCTGAAGTAAAAAAATCCCAGTATCTACTGGCTAACCAATTTCTTATAGCAAATCATTACAGTATGCTCTATTTATCCATATAATTGTCTTATTAGATGGTCTATTTTATTGCCTAGAGCACTTTAATTTCTCTAAATTTTCAGCTACACACTGTAATTGTTTTTGCACAAATACTCATGAATGTATCACCCCATGAATACTTCTCCTTTCAGATGAAGAATTACTTTCTTTCATCTGCAGAGAGGCCAGTAAATAAGAAGCAACACATGCCATATCAATGTGCTGCCTGCACATATCTAAAAAAGAGTGGTAAGAGTTCTTCATTCCTTTCAACAGCTAGTCCCAGAGGTCACAGCTGCTGATAATGACCTTCCACCAGAAGTTACGCTCCTACATTAGGTGATCTGAGTCAGCCTCTGAAAATGTCTGCCTAAATTTGCTGCTTATATTAAAAGACATTGGTGTGTCAACTGAGCTGAGAAGATGAGAGGGTGCTACACAGTATCTCCTTCTTTCCTGCTCTAGTTGACCAGAAAATACAGCAGTTACCTTCTGCCAGCCTTTCTTCCCAAAAGTAGAGAAAAACAAAAAAGCATGGGGAAGAAGCAGAATGGTGTAGACATGTCTGAGCCTCACCATGACTGAGCCAGGACATGCCCACACCATGTAGCCAGACTTGGCTTTAAATTTAAGCCATGATAATTCCTCTTTCCCAAACTACATGTCGAAGTATATTCAAGATGTATGAAAAAAGTGAAGAGACATTTTTTTCAATCATATACAGAGTCAGTCTGCCCATAAAATTCTCAGTGATGACTATTAAATCACATTCATCCCCAAGTTGTTCCAAAATCTGAGAAAATTTCATATGACTGTTTTCCACTTTTGCATCTGAAAAAATACACCTGCACATGAGAAGTGAGGTGTACGACATATGACACACAAGACTATGCCCCTTACCTGACACATGAGGCACATTCACAGTCATCTCATTCATTAACACACTGCCATCTGATCTGAAAACCACCACCTGCATAATAACAGATAGACTCAATAAAGTTCCAGTACTGAGAGGAAAAGGAACTAAAAAACAAACTAATAGGGGAGACATTCTGCACATTTAGACTCTGGCTAGAACTTAAAATCTATGGAATGAAGAATCTGTCTCCAAATCGAATGTGGCAGCAGACCTGTAGGATACAAGTAAGATTTTGTCTTGCTATTCAGTGTTTCACTTACACCCGCCTACAACAATTTATAGCAGTAATGAAATGCAAATCTCGTTTATATTGGCCACTTTGTTTTCAGCAAGAAAAGGCCTTCAAGATCTATAGCAAATATCAAATCTATATAAAAGCTTGTGCCATAGCTTCAGTGTAATGATTTAGTACGATACTGGCATGATAAGAAAGCAGTTTGTTATACTTCCTCATAAACAAGAGTCTGCACATACAGAAACATGAAATGATGGGTTTCTGATTTGGTTTGTTTTCGTTCTAGTTATGCAGGAAAGGACATAGAACACCAAAAACATGGAAGGAAAATTATGTGTACATGTATGTAAAATTAGGTATAAATATAATCTAGATATTCCCATAACAAAACAGAACACTAAAATGAATGGAAATATAAGCATTTAAGAAGATTGGATTGTATCCATATTCAAAGATGGGATCCCTTCTGAAAAAGACACAATTAGATCTATGAAATTGTATCTTAATAAAGTAAAATGCTGTGTCGAGAGGAAGAATGGCACTCTTACTTCCAGCCAGCCTTGAATACAGTAAGAATAATCATATAGCACAGAGAAGGAAAAAGGGAAATGTCATCTTATTTGAATCTCATTTTTTGTTCAGTTTAGGTCTATTTTGAGCTGTCAAGGCAGAAGCCTGAGTCGTTTTTCAGCCTATCTGAGGTGCCTTATCTATCCACAACAGTAACTCCAGAAGAATTAGTTATTGCTGTACAGTAAGGAAAATATGCTAATTTTCAACATATCTAGCAGAACCCAAAGAACACTTACATTTTTTTTGTCATCTACTAGCAGCACAACAGTCTTCAAACAGGTCTGCCTGCCTGTGGAGCCACAGGGAGCCAGCTCTGCCAGGAGAGCATGACTGTCATTTACAGAACCCTACAATCATTGAGAAATAAATATCCATTAGTCAAATCAAAGATTTCACAAGATTATTTCCAAAACAAAGACTAAAATCATCAGTTACAATTACAATTACTATAGAACTTAGCTATTAAGACCACCATTTCAGCACTAGTTCTGGAAGCTGAACTGCCTATGGTTTCTAGTTCAAGATCCTTGTCATTCTCTAGAAGAACAGGCCCAGCTCCTTTCCCTAGCTGACTTTGACACTCAGACTCATGAACAGTTATTACCAATCTGGCTGAAAGCATCTAATCCTGAGAACTTCCAATTTTTGTAGTCTACCTATCTCTGCAGCCAGAGTGATCCTTCGATTTCTTATACATGAAGGACTCCGCTGGATAATAACAGCATACATAGTCTACTACCTGACTTTGTTAACAACCCATTGCAGTAAGCACCCAACTCCTCCACAAGGCTATTACAGCCATCCTAAATTTTCCAATACAGTTTTTAGCATTTCTGCTTCCCTCATCCCATAAAAATGGAATAAAACAACAATTCACACCTGTTACATATCAGCGCATAGACATTTGTATTTACTCTGAAAGAGAAAAGTCCTACAGTGCACAGTACCTTAGACAACACATAATAACAGTCTCCATGGAAGGTGTATTTCTTCCCATCAAAAGTGGTAATATGGGATCCTCCTTCCACTGAACATGTGCCTGGACAGGGTAAATCTTTGCATGTCCATCTGCCTGAATTACAGGTGCTATAAACAGACAAATAATTTAAAAATGCTTGTAGGTATTACAGGAGCTAAGAGCACTGAAAGCGTCTGTATACCTAGCAAACAGCAAGACAGCTACAAGTGTTTTAAAAAAGTATGTTTGACCATTTCCTTAAGATTTCTCCTCTGCCATATGCCATAGATGCAGGAAAATTTTTGGAAGAGTTGGTTATATAAACATGAAACATAAACACTAAGTTCAGAATGTTTTCAGTAAGCCTCCTATGACTAACTGGAAGATTGAAAAACACAGACCCGTTTACAATCAAGCAAAGAAAGGTGTATAAACAACTGTGATCCTTACCATTCTTCACATTCATTGGTAATGCTTTCTCCAGGTGAATACTTATTTCCATGGAGTGTGCAGTGGCACTGGCTAACAAGTATGCATCCTTTTTCAGTAATATCATCATACACAGTTCCTGTAAAGCACAACAGTAAACTATTCCAGCTCTTTCTGAAAGAAGTGATTTCCACAGAGGAGAAACTCTCAGAGGAGGCATGCTCTCAACATAACACAGAAAACAAAGGCTGAAATTAACAAAACTGAAGAATACTGTTTCTGCTTTTTATAAGACATATGGAAAGCACTTTTATCCAGCTTTGAAAACCTAAGTCTACCTGTTTATGTAACTACACACAGACAAAAAGGTTAATGTAAGTATACAAGAAAAATCTCAGTTACAGATTTTCCTAAGGTTGACAGTAAGTCTGAGATTTTCATTCACTGTCCCTCATTATCAGTCTCTGGGCAAATGATATACATTGTATCAGAATTATTGAACATAAAAAACATGATTTTCTATGTATTAGCAGAAGTTCATTTGTTGAGATGTAAAAAGCAGATTTATTACCTGTATATGATTTAACAATAAAATCATTGATTAATCAGTAATGACCTTGTTTAAAAACCTTATAATAATGTTCCTCTAGGGGGGAAATAACGAATAGTAGTACTAATTTTTAAGATATAATTTGACTACGTTTGCTATTTAAGCTATGACCTCTTTTGCCAGAGCTCCTGGTTTTGTCCATATAAAATAGCTAGAATAACACTTGCCTTCAGGACAGAAACAACCATCCATGTAGTGTTCCTCACAAAGACTACTGATCTCCAAATGTGAGCAAGTATCCATGCAGGGTGAGCTGCTTTCTCTGTAGATCATGGTATCAGGACAGGTTTTAGCTGAAAGAATGAGAAAGACACCACCAGTTATTTCAGTATAAAGTTTATCATTCCTCAGAAACCACAGATCATATACCCTACTCCTTCAAGTCAGCGGTGTCCCAAGCCAGACTCCAATTGGCAAAGCATGTTTCTGAACTGCTTCCCCTGTTTTTTATATTTTCTTCTTTTGGTTTTGAATAGATCAAATTATCCCTGTCACCTGCAGCATCAGACCTCACAGGTTTTCAATGGAAACAGAATTTCTACTTGCTAAAAATGATTTCTTAATAAAGGGCAATAGAAGAAGGAAAGAGCAAGAACATAGTATGAAGTTTATTGCACTACTGGCATGAAATTTGTAATGTATGGCTTAATTACACATAATATATGTAGAGAAAGAATGAATTTAAATGTGAATTTAAAAGTGCTATATCCATGAAATATTTTTTTGTAAAATTCATATAGCTGCTTACTGCAAAAGTTCTGTGTCCTCCATTCACCCGGCCGGCCACCTACATGTGAACACTGGCGAGAATACTCAGAGATGGTGCTGCAGAGGCAGAAGGAGTCTTCACTTCCATTACATGCACATTTGTCCTGCATGCAAGCTTGGATGTACATTTCCAAATTGAGACGTAACCGACAATCCGCAAATGCAGAGGCAGTCAGCAGCCTCTCACATTCATCACGCTAAGAAAGAAGAATATTTCAGAGATTTGTAAGCACCTGAGCTTCTAGACACCTCCTGACTTGTCATAAAAACTGTTGTCTTCCAAACAGCAATAGTTATTCAAGAAAGGAAGAAGAAACCATTTTTCCTGGAAGGTACTAAGTCTTCTCAGCTCCTCACACACTAACTCCCTCTAGCACAAAGATGTCTCCATGTGCCCATGCAAGTGAAGTTCACCGCTAGGAATACTCACATGCCCATTACAGCTTGGAAGAGCCTGAGTTTCATCAGGATCCTCACATTTGGCATTGGGTTTGTTGATCTTCTGTAAATTCCCATACGTAATTGAATTGTAGCTTTCATCTATGAGAAAAATTTACAAAGATGACTTGCTGAGCCCCAGAAATTGACAGCAAGGAGCATCTGATTCCTGGGACTCTACTGATCAAAGAAAACAGTTATTGTGGTATCAAATGAGCCTGTCAGACACAGGCCTAGCTCTGAATTTTGTCTATTATGTCTAAGTGTGCTTAAAAATTTAAAGTTGTAAAGAAGGCCAGTAGAGAAAAGAGCAAGATGATTTATTTGGAATAAAATAACCTTAGACCAGGAATGCAGCACTAGAACATAATATTTATTCTGGGGCAAAAAAGTCTCTCAGGTAAAATTTGCTCTTCTGTGATGCTCTTGTGCACAATTCTTATCCGACTGTCTTCTGTGATAACTGTCACTATGGTAGGATGACTCACCTCCATTGATAAATTCATTGTAGATCGGAACTCCATTGTAATCCCCACAGAGACCACATGTATGGTTATTAAATTTGCTATCCAGCTCCACCTAGGTAATGGAAAGAAAAAGGAAAATCATTAAAGAATTATCTGGTGCATGAAGACATTCCAAAACAAATATTTTTACTTGAAAGATAAGTTACTAAATGACAGAAGTGATGGTGAACCCCAAATTCTTAGTAGCAAATGAATTTGTAACATAGTTAATAAACAAACACACAGATGCAATAAGTAATACAGTAAACAGAAGGAAGAGACTGAAGATTCTATATTTCAATTATGGCAGTAGTGATACAGATGAAAAGGAAAGTATTCTTGAAATCACAGGACTACTGTTTTGGTTTATTTTTTCCTCCTTTTTTTAAATTTCCTACTGGGATAAAATTTAAGTCTTGTTGTCAATTAGGAAAGCAGATGGTGGCAGTCATTCAAAAGATAAATGAAGGAAAACACAGATTGGATTATGTGGGTGCTATAGCAAAAACATTAGTTATTTCTCAGAACACTCCCTCTCTCTTTCTTGCGACCAGTAAGAAAATCTGCATGCCATACTTCCACCTCTATCACATTGCAAAGAAGGGAACTTTTACGTTTTTAAAATAAGGTACTATGAGTGTCAGTTGGGTGAGTCAGCCTAACGCTCTAGCTCTGTTCAGTTTGTGAGATTCAACTTCTGATCAGCATACAGTAGTCTGTTAAACCCAGGAAATGCCAGTAAAAAAGATGTGGTTCATACATACCATCAATGCATCTTCTTGATTCCATATCAGAATCAGGCCTAATTTGGCATAAACCTTGGTGTAAATGTCATTGCTCTCAATAAGCACACCAGAGCTGTAGTAAGGTGTCTTCACACTAGGAAGAAAATCAGAGGCTTTGCATTAGTACAGAAACATAAGAGATAACATGATGGTCTGTAATAAGCAAAAAACCCTAATGAATAGAGAAACCAGTCCCTATCTACCTGAATTTAGCTGCACAGGATGTCTTGTTTTAATGAGGCATAAAATCCTCTCTCTCTGGCACTTTATATAACTTATCGCCTTTAAAAGGCAAAGCAATTTCAGAGACAAAGCCAAAGATTCTTTAAGAAAAAAAACCAAAATGTCAGATGTCTTCAATTTAATCAAAGGAAAATCCATCCTCATTGTGCTATTAACAGAGGATATTCAAACACTCATTCACTCATTAATAATTTACTTCAACAAAAGAAGTAAAAACATAAATGGAAGCTTTTCTTTACCAAAAGATTTGACAACCATTTCAGAGAGAATGAACATTCCTTGCAAGGATCTTCCTCCTCAAAATAGTTTAAAAAGCACAGGCAGATACAGGGGCTGCCAACAAAAATTTGAAAAGAAAAGAGTGTGTAAAGAGGAATTTAATAGTTGCAGTAGTTAGTTAACTAGTTTTCAGTTAAAAGGACCAAGCTCGTTAATGGTGAAAGCAAGATGTGTTAATGTGACAGAAAACATTTTGAAGAAGGGTGAGCATAGATGGTTTTGTATAACAAAGAATCAGTTCACCAGATCTCTCTCCTGTTCTTGTACGTCTGTCTTACAGTGCACCATGTAACAAGTTACACTGTTGATTTTAATTCAGCGATAAAGGTATTGTGTCAAGCAGCCTCATCCTATAAAATCTAGAGAACTAGATTCTGTTCAAACAGAAGTAAACTGGAATCCAGTAAAAATAACCATTAAATTTCTATAGATTTGCCAATATAATTGTTACCAGGATTCATGTCTATGCACATTCGCCTCTTCACTCATCTCTTGACTGGAAGAATTTTTATCTCCTGATTTCCAGTCACTGGGATTTTTCTAACTTTTTACCTCAAGCATTTTTAATGTGGCCAAATGACTTACACATCTAAATGTCAGGTAGAAATTCAGAAGCCATTATTTCTATCTTTAGCTGCATTGTTCATCCCCTGGACAATGAGGCATTAAGAGATCATGTTTTTGGAGAGGGATTATAAAACACTGGGCAGCTTTTCACCTTTCAGCTATCACAGCATGGAATATTTCTCTTTTTTTCTAATACTAGGATGTTCAATCAATCAGTGGATCAGGTACCAAAAGGCAAATCAATAAATTTTTCTGCTTTGCAGTTTTCCATTCAGTAGCATGAAATGCTGTTTTACATGACACTGGATCACATGTCATTTGAAAAGCAATATGTAAAATTAAGTTCTATAAAAAACTAAATCCTGTTCAACCTGTTCAGAAGGGATCTATTGTTTTATGAAAACTACCTAAGACAAAAAGATGCTTGGTTTAAGAAAAACAAATTTTAAAGGATTTCTAAATCTGTTTTTCAATGGAGTTCTTTTTAAGACTTGAGTACACAATAAAGGGCTTCTTCAACTTGGGACAAGAATGCATTTCTTATAGCTTAATGTCTTTTTATTTATGTATCTGGCATGATCCTTAGAAAACTGAATGTTACTTCCTATCTTTGAACAGATTTTCATTGCAGTGGCTTCTAAACTTAGGAGCAAAAGCTGAATTCTGGGCAAAGCCCAGACAATAGAGTGGATATTTTTTTAATTACACTAAGTCATACCAACCCAGTTTCTTCCATCTTCAGAACTATGTCTTAACCTATGAGTTGCTTCACTTGTTTCAGTGTGTATATATACGCAGACTGAAATGATAGGCTAAAGATAGGAAAGGCTAGGTTAAGACACTACTTGGCAGCAAGTAATGGTGTCAGTCTAGTTCTTTATGTGACCATGTTACAGGAGAAGAAAAATACTAGAGCTCACTGTGAGGAAGTATATATTGCTATATACAAATCAGTGTAAATTTTGGTCTGCATAATATCTGCTATAATCCCTTAAGGAATGACTATTGGACCTTAAAAAAATATTTATGAAGATCAGAAAAAATGATCTGCCACAGAATAAGAGAAAAAAGACCCTAGAGAAATGCATCTTAATTTTTGAGGATCTGCTAGACCATCTGGTAAGGTAAACTCAAGGTGATGCCATAAAACAAATGAAACTATGTCATTTTGTGCCTGGATCATGAGCTGCATTGTTTCCTGCACAACCAGAAGAACAATTCACTCAAATCTCTTCCTGACATGCATTTAAATCATCCCTTATGCCAGTGTAGAAATGATAAGTAATACTAAAGCCCCTCCCCAAAGCAATTTTTATGCTGGATTTCAAGGTTTTTTTTCTGTACAAGGAAATGTTTGTAGTAGTTTCCTTAACAGTATACAAACAGCTGTGTAAACAATCAATCCTGCTTCAACTTCCCAGCACATTCATTGGAAATACTATTGTACTAAAGGAACTTACATCTGCCCATCCACCACAACCAGTTTTGGTCTTAGGTACACTGTAAAGTCCATGATTGTTAGCAGAATATACTGGATCTCAGGGTGGTTATTGCTGTTCAGAGCACGCTGAATGTGGACAGAGAACTCCTTGTAAGACTCTCGGCAGTCAGAAGCAAAATTATACTCGCAAATGCCAGGGTACTGGTAGATGTCTCCATCAAAAGTTTTGAAATGGTTGTTTCCCCAAGTGCTGCAGACATAGTGACCATGGTTTCTTGTCCTGCCTGTTAGGTGATGAAAAAGAAATAGGCATGAGAACAGTGAAATGAGTGAGCTAGCATCAAAAAAAGGTAAGTAAGTGTTGCAATTTACAGTAGAAAGCACTTGAAATTACATGCACAGTGATTCCAGAGATCTCAAACCTAATCAAGTATCTGCCTATTAAGCAGAAGAGATGGGAATCTTTAATGGAAATTAAGACATTAACAAATACTTCTGATAGCCAGGTATATCTCATAATCCTCACTGAGGTGAAGAAACTTGTCTGCATGAGGTGGGGAAACTTAACCCTGTGACCACTAACAAGCTGGTACATCAGTGCAAAGGAGCTGTTTTACCAAACACATGAATTTCTTCTGAGTCATGGTATTATTTTTAGTGAAATTTAATATTTCTAAGAGCTATTTTCTTCCCTGATACAACATGCACTAGAAAGAAAGCAAAGATAGGAAACCAAGGAACTACCACTCCTACTCTGGAAGGCAAATAGCTTAAATGTTATGAAAGGACTTGTACGCAGCAGGAGTTTTTAAAGAATTCTTTCTTTTCCTAACAGAGTAGTGATTTCTATTACTACTGAATAGAAATTCTTCGTAAGATAGGTCAGAAAATAACCATGGTAGGAGACCAAAAAAGAAAAAATTTGCAATAGCAAAAGATGAAGGTGATTACGATATTTGTTCCTTTCCCAGCCATCTGTACCAACAAATAATACAAATGAACACAGTATCTGACAAGTCTCAAGATGCTGTAGATTAGGGGTGAATGTAAAGGCTGAGCATACTTGAGAAGCTTGCCAAGGCACTAAAAGCACACATACCACTCACCTTCACAAGATTTTCTTGCAGTGTTTAGTTTGAGAAAGCAAAAATACCAAGGGGATCTCTAAGTTATTGTACTTTAATGGCATCAATCACACCAGATATATCCAGCCAAGCTGGTATGCTTCTCTCCCCACAATGAAGGCTATAAAGAGGTTCTCCCAGAACTCACAGCTGGGACACAAAATGTAAGATAATGCTTTCCTCCCATTGCTGAATTCAAGATACAGCAAGCAAGACCAATACCTCAAACTTGATCATGGTTCAAAATTCATTACCTATTCCTCCAAAAGCAGCTTTCAGTATGAGAGCTCCATTTCAACACTTGACAACAGAGTTGATAACAGAGTAAATTAGAGAATTTACAGGATTATTAATGTCCTGAATGACAAAATCATCTTTGTCCAATGTTTTGAAGAAATTACTTATGTCATTCCAAACTAATGGAAGGCACCCTCGTCCACTTTCTTCACTGATGTAACAACAAATCTCCGAAACTCCCATAGTTGCTTTCTGCCAAGTAAACTCAGTCATTCCTAGGAAAGTCTCAACACATTGAAAGAAAAGTAACACTGAAAATATTTTCCAAGCACAAGAAACTAGAGATTAATGCAGTAGATAGACGTACTAATCTCTCCAAAGAGAGTAGTATCTACTTATGCTGGCTGAGCCACATAGCCTCAGTATCTGAAAGTTTAAGAAATTTGAGGAACCTTAAAACTCCAATGTATTATTTAAATGTGCTGCCTCCTTCTACCTCTGCAGTGGTATTTTAATTCTCTCCCTCTTTTCCAGGAGGCAGTCTGCTACCGCTACTGCTACTTTATTTCTAGAGCTTACCTTTTCTTATTTCATTTGCATAGGAAAGAGCCAGCCAGAGCATAAAAAGGCTGGCAACTCTTAGCACCATGGTGGCTAAGGTGGGTGAACTGGGAACTCCACTGAAACCTTTTCTTTATATTATATCCACTGATGTAACTGAATCTATCACAGGGGAGGAGATACAATGGGAGGCGGAAAGAGGAGGGGTAAAAAAATAGGCATGATATTTACAGAAGATAAGAGGTAAACAGACAGGTATTTTTCACCATAAATGAAGGAATTCAGTATACAGGAAATGGTACAATATTGATTCAGTAATCATGCAAATTTTTATTGCTCTGTTTCATCTACAGGATGCTATGCTTCAAATGCTCAGGCCAAATTTAACCTCACTAACTCCTATAACAAATAGTAAATTCTGGAGTGGCTGAACAAAGAAATTCCTTGAAGGAAGTTTAGGATGAGATACCCTCAGACAAGGCTTCAGACCTTCACTTTTCCCTGTCACAAAGAATGATTTCTGTAAAAATTAACTGATGCTTGTGAAGCTCCTTGTAGACCACAGTACCCCTACAAATAGAAGTGATACACCATGTCTTGTAAAATTACTCTGCAGGCAATGATTACATTCCTTTCATTTGTAAAGCTCTGTTGAGCACCTAAAACAAGGTATATAGCACATACTGCATATTGTGCTCAAAACATAACTGAGATGGGGTGACAGTGTAAGTTCAAGCAATTCACAGCAAAAGAGATGTTCTATTGAACATTGCCATGGTGCACCATAAAGTCCATCAAAAAGGTTGTAAGAGATGATACCATATTAAACTTGGTGGGGGAGGAGGGAAGGGGAAAGTAAAGGGGAAAACACTACTGTCCAGACTGAATAACAAATGTTTTCAGACAGAATCCCCCTAAACAGCTCGTTCTTTCTTACCTTCTACATGAACGATAAATTTACATTCTACTGCCACTCAACAAGCTACTAAAGCTATAGGATTAGCTTTGCTTTGCACAGACGGTCCTTGGGAGAATAAGAAAGCAGAAAATGGAAACAAAAACCAGATCAGAATGCAGCTTCAGAAATGCAACATCTCCACATATACTGTATTTTACTCTGAAAAATTCCTTCGAAGTGTTTCTGCAACTCTCTTCAGAAGACAAAACACAGGCTCCTTGAGATAAATTATACTTATTTCAACAGATCTTTTAACATTGCTGCATCGTAGCACTAACATGGTTTACTTCTTAAAGCACCCAGGCTAGGCTCTATATTTTCTCATCAAAAGTTTCTTAGTGCAGCGTCCAGAAATCTCCAATACTCTTATTTGTTCCGAGTGTTCCTTACTTTAACTGCTCAAATTAAACGTAGAACTTTAACATTGTGTAAAACACCAAGAAAACACTTCGCTTGTCCCTTTTGGCTGCTCTAGCCAATCAGAAACACCCTTTTATCATAAAGGCATGGTCTTCAGCTGTTGTTTTCTTTTATTTGCCATTTTTATCTCCAGTACAGCCTTGTCTTAACCTGAACATCTTCTTCTTTTCCCTCAGTAAGTCTCAAAGGGTTTTAGACTTTCTGCTTGTCCTATTTAGGGATACAACTCTCACCCTTATATAGGGTATCATTCACTGAACACTCATGACAGAAATGAAGTAGTCACCCTTTTTTCCTTTGGGATTCTATCAGTAGAAGTATATACAATTTATTTTCCTTCTTGGAAAATAAATTCAGTAATAACCAGCTAGAACAAAACATTTAGAGAAAAAAAGAAGAAATTGTCTACAGAGACCTTTCCCTGATGGTTACTTTAGCTTGTTATGAAACCTCAGAGACATCTACCATCTTTGAATTTTCTTTTATGCCACTAGAATTTTTAGTTCAGAAATGTTTTCTAAAAATACTTAGAAGATTTCTGAATGACTTTGTTTTGAGCATTTCTTTTCCTCTATGTGTTTTTCCAGACAGTCTCCTGTTTGGTACTACTATTGCTTCAGAAAAAAAAAAAAAAAAAAAGAGTCCCCATGACTTAATTCATATATATTATTTGCAAACTGTAACAGCAGCTCCGTGTACACAGCAGATCTGATCCCTTTTTAGATTAAATTGGATGTGTATGTTCACATGTGTAAGTTGGAAACTTGCTTGTTTTCCATTCAGGTTTGCTTGCCATGAAACTTCTAGATCTGGAATCAGCCTCTTTCATTTTCTGGGACCAAGAAAGGTAATCATCCTTCATATAAAGATGTACCATCCCTCAGTTCAATACAGAATCATAGAATGTTTAGGGTTGGAAAGGACCTTAAGATCATCTAGTTCCAACTCCCCTGCCATGGACAACAATGCCTCTGACCTCTGATCAAGGCTCTGTCCAGCCTGGCCTTGAACACTGCCAGGGATGATGGAGCATTTACCACTTCTTTGGGCAATCTGTTCCAGTGCCTCACCACCCTCACTGTAAAGACCTTCTTCCTTATATCTAACCTGAACTTCCCCTGTTTAAGTTGAAACCCATTACCCCTTGTCCTATCACTACAGTCCCTGATGAAGAGTCCCTCTCTGGCCTCCTTGTAAGCCCCCTTCAGATACTGGAAGGCTGCTATGAGGTCTCCATGCAGCCTTCTCTTCTCCAGGCTGAACAGCCCAAATTTTCTCACCTATTTTCATATGCTGGTGGTTTTCTCCTATGCAGGTGAGAGATGCACCTTTCTTTGGGCAATATGGATCAGTCTAACCCTTTGAAAAGCTACTTCAAGCCAAGCACCACTAAATTTTACCAGCAGATTTTCTCTGCCCCAGCTCTGGCCTGCCTGTACATCGACATGATTCCTTCTTGGGCTATAAAGTTAAAACAGAATTATTTTCATCTCCAGTCTTCTCTTCCCAGAGTGATCAGCAACTTCTTATTGTCCCTTCTTCTGACATACAGGAAACTGTGGCTTACTGTGATATCCTGTTGTGGTTTAAGCCCAGCTGGCAATTAAGTACCATGCAGCTCTTGCTCACTCCTCCTCCCCCAGGTAGGATGGGGAGGAGAATTGGAAAAAAGGTAAAAACCAATGGGTTAAGATAAGAAGAGTTTAGTAACTGAAATAGAAGTAAAATATAACACAACAAAAACTTCCCCCTACCCTCTCCCCCCCTCCCGGAGAAACACAAAACAAAACAATCAAAACCAAAACCAAGTGATAGACAGTAAAATTGCTCACCACCATCTGATCATTCATGAGCAGTGGTCAGCCCCTTTCAGCCAGCTCCCCACAGTTTGCATTTATTTATGATGTTCTGTGGTACGGAACATCCCTTTGGCTACTTTGGGTCAACTGTCCTGGCTGTGCTCCCTCCTGTCTTCTTGTGTCCCCCTCACTGGCAAAGCATGAGACTGAAAAGTCCTAGACTTAGGGTAAGCACTGCTCCACAACAGCTCCACAACATCAGTGTGTTATCAGCATTATTCTCACACTAAAGCCAAAACACAGCACTGCACCAGCTACTAGAAAAAATCTTATATCTATCCTAGCTGAAACCAGGATGCATCCCAATAAGAAAAAGCAACTTGCGTTTTAGCACTGAGACTGCTTTTACAGAATTTGCACTCAAGCTTGCATGGCTGTATTGATCTGAGGAGAAGTGAGTACAGATCCTTATCTTCACAATTCATAAGTATTTGTACCTTTGCTAGCATTAGAAACTGGCCTAAGCTATACCACCTCTATTTCCTTATTGCCAGAAGACTAATGTTCCTGTCTACCAGCTGCTTTATATACCTTTCAGAAATAATCAGTCTTTTAGGGAGACATCATAGCCTGGTTTATTTCATGCTCAGCTACCTTGCAGCTTATTGGATTACATGTTTTAATCCAGAAGAATCTTACTGCTAATGCACAGATAACTCTGCATCCATTGGCATGCATTAATTTTTTTACCATAAATTGTTTGACAACCTAAAGTAATCATAGAATGGCTTGGGTTAGAAAGGACGTTAAGATAACCTTGTTCCAACCCCCTGCCATGGGCAGGAACACCTCACACTAAACTATGTGGCCCACGGCTCTGTCCAACCTGGCCTTGAACACTGCCAGAGTTGGAGCATTCACAACTTCCTTGGGCAACCCATTCCAGTGCCTCACCACCCTCACAGTAAAGAACTTCTTCCTTATATCTAATTGAAACTTCCCCTGTTTAACTTTAAACCCATTACCCCTTGTCCTACCACTACAGTCCCTAACAAGGAGTCCCTCCCCAGCATCCTCATAGGCCCCCTTCAGATATTGGAAGGCTGCTGTGAGATCTCCACGCAGCCTTCTCTTCTCCAGGCTGAACAGCCCCAACTTTCTCAGCCTGTCTTCATACGGGAGATGCTCCAGCCCTCTTACCATCCTTGTGGCACTCCTCTGGACTTGCTCCAACAGCTCCATGCCCTTTTTATGTTGAGGACACCAGAATTATACACAATACTTCAAGTGAGGTCTCACGAGAGCAGAGTATAGGGGCAGGATCACCTCCATCTTGGAACAAAGATAATTCTTCTTTATCATTAGCATCTTTGCTTTAAGCTTACATCAATTCTCTACATATTAGTTGACCTGTCTGTGGAACTTCCATGCCATTCATTGCTTTGGGTCATCTTAATCAGAAGTCATTCTCCTCTTTCCAATACCAGGTGTTCATTTGCTATTAATATAAATGATGCTTCGTATAGTTCTGCACGCACTTCAGTCATTTCCCAGTAGGGACACTACAACTGAAACCATGGAATCCTAACTGGGTAAAAGCTATCACTGTGCAAGTGGCATCACGAGAACAAGTGATGAGAGGATTGTTTTCAAATTTAGGTCCCAAATTTAAGTTCATGAGTAGAAATACAATTCCCATAATCTTTCACTACATGTCTGACCTAGGAACCCCGACACTATTCAAAGCCAAAAATAAAAAGTTGATTGCATGACAAGTATGTTTGTTATAGCAGCAGATGTAGGAGAGATAAAAAAAAGCAGTTTGAGTCATAGCTGTGTCAATGCCTTCAGTGTTTCCATACCCTTAAACTTTTACAAGACGATATTTAATCTTCCCATCAGCATCGCTAA